GATGATAGCTCAGTTCACAACGACAAAACACACAGATCACTTTGGTCTTGTCAATGGAACCATTTGGTAACTTTTTAAAAGTACTTAAAAAGAAAAAGAAAAAAAAGAACTTTCCATTCAGAATATTATTGGCATTCATTTCGGCGTCTCGCGCTCGCCATCCACTCAAAACGTAACGTCTACTACTCTTAAACAAGTGCGTGCCTGTTGTTTTGTTTCCGGTCTAAGTAGATCCGGTGTGGTGTTGTAGTTTTTCTAACGTTACTAGTTGTTGCAACAGCACGTGAAAAAAACTACAAAGTGTGCTTGGCCAAAAAGAACGTTAATCTCACAATAAAAAATTTCACACCGTTAAAATGGGTTTGCGTTAACGCCGTTAATAACTGACAGCACTAGTAATTTTTAGTTTTACATTTCCTGTAATATTTTGTTTCAGTATCAGCCTGCTACGAGCCACATTCATGCTCATTGCGAGCACGTACAGCCATGATTAGTTATGAGGAAAAATATGATGGCAAGATAGTGATATGAGGTAAAATCAGTGGTTCAAAGACTCTCTTTGTGAGAAGACTGAATACTGAATAGTCTTGGACACATAACAGCAATAATAAGAAACAATGTATACCTGTGAAACTGGTAAATAGTGACAAAGCAGTATAGTGAAGCCAATGCAAGGCTCTACTAAAAGTTAAAATCCTGCAGACATAAAGGTTTGTGATGCAAGATGTTTTGGATTCAAGCATTGCAATTTTCTAAAGAGATGAAAGTGCTGTGTTATCACCAAGACTCTCATTGCTTTGTCTCTGCCCTGACACTTTGTCTACTCGCAGCACTCAGAACCTTTATTATTCCTCATTGCATCAGACCAGAGGCAATCAACGGGGGCTCCCAATGCTCTTCAAGTACATCACCAGAACACACGATATAACAAGTTGCACTGAGATCTTAGACACATTTAACGCTTCCTACACGAGTTTGTGGCTTCTGTATAAAAATATATGCAGCTCAAAAGGAAAACATGGGAAATATTTTGTTAAATGGTTTCCAATGTTACTGGTATAATACTACCTGGGCACTAGTTCCCAGTTCCATGAAGTATCTTAATGTCATGTTTTCCTTTGGTCTATGAGAACCCCTTTAGGCCCGCTTTATGTTCCAAGGTTGTGAAAAATATAATAATGACTTTTTCCCATCCTTAATGCAACCAGAAATGAGAATCAATAAAA